ATCAATAAAAGAGTTAGAAAACAAAAAAAATGAAAATTCCAGGGGTGGGTGTTGAACTCGCGCCATTTTCCCTTTCCACCATACACTTAGCCACTGCGACAGGCGCACGCCTGTGTTAGGGGAATAGAATCAGCGCGCTATGTAGTAAACCTGCAAGAATTGGAAAATTATGAAATAAAATGCCAAAAGACAGGATCGAACCCGTGTCTTGGTACATGAATGCCTTATCATGCGCGCGCTTGCCACTGGGGTGGCTGTCTCATCTGGTACCTAAGTGAAAACAATTAAATAAACTCAAATAACTGGGTCGGAGAAGTGTCGGAGCCCTAGCTCCGGCCGTCTTCTCCGGCGACTCCTTTTTTTTGTTCCTGCAAAATAGCAAACATCAATGACTTAGTGGTACCATACCCCTCAAATTTGGGCCTTGCGATTTCAATGGAAGCATTATATTTGGCCAAATCACACTGTAGAAAGAGATACAACAAAAACAATATGAAACAGTTCAAACATGGTAGCTCGTGGTTCAGTCGTTATGGGACTCACACGATGGGTCTATTCTGCATAGTGATACCTCATAAGCATGTTAATAGTGTTAGTATGCATTAAAATAACATGAAAACATAAATACAAATTTTCAAAAAAAAAACAAGAGAATCGGAGGTGCATGCATGTCGGTTCCGTGTGCTTTGGATCATCAAGACTGATCCATTCTTACCCTATAGTGTCTCTGAAGTCGAATGTGATGATAGGTTTTGCTTGAAAGTGGCTGAAAATAGGGTTTACAACTTGTCTTAATTTTTATATATTTTGGAGTTTTTTTGGAAAGGTTTCTTGTGCAAGATTTCCGTGTCCTTGTTATGTCTAAACAATGAGAGTATATAGGGAGGAAATTAGGTCAAACAAATGGGCTTGGACCTTTGTATGAAAAGCCTTGATTTTATCTTATTTAATTTTGAATTTAAATAAATAAAATAAAAAATAAATAGAATAAAAACCCAAGGGGTGTATGAATAAGTTCTGAGGTTCACAGTTAGTTATGCACGGTTGGACCTTGATACATCATTCCATTAGCCCAAAAACTCATGTTTGATCACTTTTGGTTTCATGCATTTTCTCAAAATTTCCCAACATGCACCAATCATAACTCTCTCAATTTTTATCATTTGAGGGTGATCTTGGACTTTTTGGAAAGCTCAAGATGTCCTATACAATCTCTATGTTAATCATTTTTTCATTTGAAGAATTTATCTTAATGTAAGTTGCCTTGACAAAAAGTGTCTTTTTGTTGACTTTTGAAATGACCTATAATATTTTGGCTCATATCTCTCAAATGAAGCATTTTTTTAGACTTGAGCTTAGAGAGTCAAATTTGTAGTGAATTGAACTTCCTTTAAAATGAGTTTTAGTTAAGGAAAATCTGATGAAGCATGTGAAAGTTATGTTTGGTCAAAGTTCAGTTGACTTCTCCTTAAGAAAATTCTAACTTAGTAACTTTTGACTTTTGATGAATCTTGAGTTTTCTTGATGAATCGTGATCAACCCTTGATAAAATGATGAATAAGACTTAAAAATATTTATTTTGACCAAAAATTTTGAGGTTTGACTTTATGTTAACCATAATTGACTTTTTATTCAATACAGATGATTTTCAGTCATCTGAGCAATTAACTGAGCAAACTTGTGATGCAAGGCTTGAAACTTGGCATGAGCATTCTTAGAGACATATGAGAAACCATGAAATCCGCTTGAGGCTTTAGAAACCCAATCATACTTGAGAAAAGTGAAACCCTAGTTGTAGGTCAATTGCTTAGAAGGAGAATTTGTCTAATTAATTCTTGAATAACCTTGAGCAAATGGAAACCCTAGGAGCATGAGGAGATATCTTGAAGAAAATGGGAGGAAAAATTTTAGGATACAATAGTCCCGAAGTCCGATCCTGTGGGGTAACATTACTATTAGCGAAGCTGACAATACAATCAAGAGAATGAGTTAAACGACTAAGTGAAAGTAAATTAACTGGACAATTAGATACATAGAGAACAAAAGTAAAAGATAGAGAAGGTAGAATTTGTATAATACCAATTTCTTTGGATCAGGTTTGAAAACCATTGGCAAAAGTTATAATAGGTAAGAAACCATAAGTAAGATGGTAGAGAAAATTTTTTTATTACCGATAACATGATCAGATGCACCAGAATCAATGACCCAATGTCCGAGAGAAGATGGTTGAGAGAGGGAAACTAATGAATTACTAGTGTGTGCAACTGAAGCAGTGGAATCTGAGTTATGAGAATTCAGATACCAGTTAAGAAAATCAATGTAGTTTAGCGTAAAGTTATTAGGAGTGGCCATAAGCATCTGAAGAGATAAAATATCACACGAATCAGGTGAAAATTCTATGTTTGATCTGGACCATAATTTTCAGTGAATGGAAAATAAAAGCTGAAACTGGATCTGGAATAGTTGTGTAGTGACGAGTGAGACGGCGGAAAAACCATCGGGATCATAGAAGGTGCTTCTGCCGATAGGGTTAGTTTTTTGAAAGGTCATCGGGAATAGTAGCGACATCAATGGACGGTGGCAGCAATGTGGTGGTGACCGTAGAATTTTGAAAACTGATGCCGGAGTGAGTCACTGCGGTGTACAGAAGGCAAACTGAAGTTATGACACACTTTACTAAAAAAATTCTCATCAAAAGACAATGGGTCAACCGAGTAAAGCATGTTGAATGATTATCTCTCAGTGGAATCTAAATACCATGTTGAAATATGATAGACTAAGAGACATTTGAATAAACCGTGTGTTTTGAAAAGCACTATAGAGACTGTATTATATATAGAAAGATTACAACTAATTACATAGTATAGTCGATGTAGGACTATTTTATATACAAAAATATAACACTATATATCATGTTCTTTTGCATGAAATTAAGCTTCTTTAAGGTTTAGAAATGGGTTTTTCTATACAAATGTTTGAGATATGCTTTATTTGGGCCATGTCTATTACCACTTTGTTTTCGATGAAATCAAAACGATGATAATATCTTGAGTTGTTTTGGTGTTTGCTTGTAACATTTAATTGGCTAGGTAAGAAAGACTAGAATGTTGTTTGTTCGCCTGAATTTTTTAATATTTTATTAAAATACATTTTATTATGGTCTTTCAACACAACCGTTGTGATATACTAAAGGTTATTTGATTTCTATCACCGATAATTTTTTTCTTTTCGTTATAAAAAGGGGTTGCCATTATACTCTTATAAATATATTAAAATAAAAAATACTTATCATCACGGTTAATACTAGAAACCATTGTGATAGTACTTACATATTACGGTTTATTTTAACAGTCTGTGTGTGTGCGTGCGTGCGTGCGTGTGTGTGTAACACTCTCTTTCACTCGCTTTCTCTTTCGTTTTCTTCTTCATAAAGTTTCTTCTATGTTATTGATACATTTTTTTCTCTTTTTTTATCAAAACAAAACTCTAACATTTTTCTTTTTCAATGCAGCGACCTCGTCCTAATAACCTTCTTCAAACTAAAAGATAATCTTCTTTATTAACTTTTTTACATTTTTCATATTTGTTCTGTGTATGACACTAGTTATTCTTAAAAAGGTTTTTTTCATCTGACATGATTTACTTCCCTTTTGGTTATGTTTTCGTTTATGTTAATGCTAGTTTATGTTTTTAAAACAGGTTAACATTATAAAAGTTATTTATATTTTAAAATCTGATTCAAGAGAACTCATACTATGAGCGTGGTTCATAAATGGTTTGTGTTATTATGGAGAAACAATATAAGAAGTATGAAGCTATTTTGGAAGCTTCACCCGCCTTATATTTTTTCTTCATAGCAACACAAATTAGATCAACTTTAAATCATTTCACGAATCTTTTCAATAAAAGGTATGTTGTTGTTATTTTGTTGATAGATATTGATGTATGTTGTTGTTCATAAATTGTTTGAGTTATTTTTGTTGTTGATAAGTGTATGTTTTTGTTGTTGATAAATGTTGTTGTTGTTGATGTATGTTGTTGTTGTTGCTGAATTTATTATAATGTATGTAGATTGATTGTTTTACTAACCCTTCAATGAATATGCATTCATTTAAAGTGATTTAGAAAATTATAACTTGAAAATTAAATTATATTTGAAATACAACTTAAATCATTCAATGTTTTTCGAATGACATACATCTCATAATTCATCTATCACTCTTTAACACAGGTAACTTAATTTATTGTCCCAAGTTTTTCAAAATAACAATTCGTTCTCTATTAATTTAAATTTCAAAACATTAAATTTGTTGAGAAATTGAGTTATCTTCATCATTGTCATCATAATAATCTTCATCATTGATTACAATAATGATGATGATAACGATGATGATTCCAAATTAGTCAACATATTGATATTTTGCAAAATAAACTACGAATGAGTCTCTGCTTTGAAGAACCCGGGACATTGAATCAAATACTATGTGTTAAATAGCAATAGATGAATTACGCGTTACATACAATTTAAAAAACAGTGATCCATTTAAGTTGATTTTCAAGAACAATTTTAATGGTTATATATGTTAAAATCAGTTCTATCAAAATCAACATAGTTTATTTTCAATATTAACATCCTTCTAAACAACTTATAATTTGAAGTAATAACAGCCTCGTGATGTATCCACCCAAATCAAACATATTAAACTAACCACCAAATCTGATAGCATATAGTTTTGTGCCAGAAATTTGAAAAATTCAAAGCAACTTATCAAACCCCCTTTTATTTATTGAAAATATACTGCACAAGATTAAGACAGTAATTAAACCCACAAAAAGCATAACAGGTTCAACTATCCAAGAAATAACAACAAATGGAAAGAAAGAAAAAAAGTCAAAATATTCAATTCGCACAATCCAACCATGAAGTCATCCTTCCTCATAAACCTTCATCACGAAACAAATGATATTTCTATACAAAAGTTCAATTGATTATCACCATGTTACCTACCAAACCAGCCCCTTTGTTGCTGCATATCACCACCACCTTCATTCATAAGTTTATCCAGCACTGTATTTAGGTCAACTGATTGACCATTCTCTGTCAGCTTCCGTACTGTTGCCCTCACATGGTCTCTAGGGAATCCCATAGTAGCAACTTTTTCAACTACGTCGTCAACAGAAACCCTGTTACCAGTTCCAGAAGAACCTGAGCCACCACTTACAGATGATGCGGTAGGTATTGCTTGTGGGAGAGCGCGGGCAGTTGGGAGCTGTGGGTAACCAGTTCCACCACTGGAAGCCACAGAGGCACTAGGTAGTTGTGGTTGTTTACCACCATACTGAGGTGGACCACCATATCGATATGGCTCAGCAGGTCCAGATAATGTACCATATCCAGAAGAATAACTTGAAGCAGATCTATTTGATGGTGATTCATATCCTTGGGGTGGTGTCCCGTAGAATTGCTGGGCAGGTGGAGGGGGTCCACTGGGTGGCTGAGATGGTGGTTGGCGGAGATTGGGAGGATAACTCTGAGAAGGAACATAAGATGGTTCTTCTAGATGGTGGTGACCCATGGAAGATTGCAGTTGAGGTGGATTTCCGGATGAAAGTGGTGGCATCTGTTGAGGTAGATGATGTGCTGGCTGAGAGTACTGAGGAAGAGGGGTCTGCTGATATTGTTGATGTGGAGGTGCCCCTGGTTGAGGATGCGGCTGCTGATACTGCTGATTTGGGATTTCCTGAGAATGAACAGGTGGTGGCATGTATGGATCTCTCTGAGGAACAGCTGGGTTTGGGATCTGTGAGTATTGATTGAGAAGTTGAACCTGAGGTGGCAAACCCGGTTGAGGAGGTGCATTAGGAGGAGAAACCACAGGAGTTGATTGTGGAAGGTTAAAAGATGAAGGAAGATGATGTTGAGATTGTTGGGGAGCAGATGAAGCTTGCTGCGCAGGATTTGACACTGCACTAGTTTGGGTTTCTGATTGTTGCTCTGTCTTGGACACTTGCAGTTTTGCAAGTTGCAGCTGAGCTTGCACGATATCTTGTTTGTCCTTGATATCTAGCACCCCTGTTTGCACCTGTATATTTTGTATGTCCAACAAAAGAGAATAATAAAGTATGAAAAAACATGAGAGATTAAGTACGAGTTGCGATTATGCACCAATAGCAGCATATACGAACATAACTTCATTAAAATAAGTGTTACTGTTTCTGATAAGTAGCATCTATACAAGGTTCTCTAGAAACCATTTATTCAAATAAGCAGTTTCAAGTGTCGAATCGACCTTACAAAACAATGGAATATTTACTTCTGTTTCTTAGGGTTTGCAAATCAAAGGCAGTATTGTCCATGTCTCAACGTAAGAACAAATTAGATAAAATACCTCAGAAAGAATATTCTCCAGCAGCCTCAATTTCCCATCAGTGATCCCATGATTATTTCCAACAGATACCTTCAAATCATCCATAGAACTCTCAAGATGGTGAGTTCTGGTTTCTAGCTGTGTTAACCGCGCACTAACACCTTCCAGAACATGATGTAAATTGTCCATATGTTTCTTCATTGTTCGATCAATCTCTAACAAAATTGCTGCATCAACAGCACTTCGGTCTTTTTCTACAGTCACCTTTGCAGGTTCAAAAGAATCCATAGAATTGTACTTCTGCACAAAATAAGAACGAATAATAATAAACCACAGAAAGAGGATAAAATAAAATACCAGAAACCAATTAGGGCACAAAAATAAAAAGTAAGAAAACATATATACTTTAGAGTAACCGAAATTGGGGGAAGAATCTGGAAGTGAACGAATCGGTTGAAAATCGTAGCTAGGAACGATATCGTCAGTTTTGATTCCGTTATTGTGAGTGGAAGATGAATAGTTTTCTTCGTGTTGTTGTTCTTGTTCTTGTTCATCGTCATCATGAAGTGATTGTTGTTGTTGTTGTTGTTGTTCGTGATGACGAAGCTTGATTAGGTCGATGAAATCGTTGGTGGAAGATCCGTGACTGAGATTCAGATCCATTATCTGCTTGTCCATAAACGACGACGTATTCATTGATCGATGAACCAACTCTATCTTCTTCTTCGTTTGTGATTGTTCTGTGAATAAAATATATATATAATGAAAAACCTCTTTGTATAACAAACCTGCTTTTTCTTAGTTCCTTCTTCAACCTTCTATAATCCTAAAAAATAGAACAATAAATGTTTTCTTTTTTGAATTTGTTTTATTTCAAAAATATATATTATAATATAATTTATCCTTATCAGCTATTCGGCTTCCTTCTTCAACCTTCTATAATCCTAAATAATAGAACAAAAAATGTTTTATTTTTTTTATTTGTTTTTTTAAATGCATATTCAGTTATACTACTTGTATGGCGTTTAAGAATTTTTTTTAAAATTCTTATAAAAAAATTTAAAAGAAAAATAAAAAATTGTGTGATAAAAAATTATGTTCCCTATTATTTCTCTTAAATATGTATAATATTATTTATCATAAGGTTTTTAGAATAAAATATTAAAAAAACTTAATTACAAATCTCATTCTCTTATTTTTTTTTCGATTTTGTATCCTTCATTTTAAAATCTTGGTTTTTTAATTTATTTTTTAAGTTTTTTAAAAGACTTTAATCTCTCCTATATTTGAGACGAGTTTTTAATGACATAACCCTGTCATTGTTATATTTATCAAATTTAAATTATATCATTTAAATTATTATTAATTTTATTAATAATATAAATTAATATATTTAAATAAAAATAAAATGAAGTAAAAAAAGCTAAATTCATCCTCTTCAACTATTCAAATTCTTCATCATCTTCAACAAACACAAAACAAAATTAAAAAACTAAAAAACCCTAAAACCCAAACTAAAACCTTCATCCTCTTTAAAATTAAATTGAAAAGTCAAAGTCCTAAAATCAAGACCTACAAATATGGCAAAGAAAACATGTATACGTGGATACCCACAAATAAAATCTATCACAAACACATATAAAATATTTTAATGAATATTCATAAATAAAATAAATAGATGTTACCATTTACTTACGAATATATATATATATATAGTATATGTATTCACGGTTATCAGTATCCATTAATAATTAATAAAATTATTTAAATATTAATTTATTTGATCTAAAATTATTATTATTATTATTTTGTTGAATATGAAACAATTATTATTTTATTAAATATAATATAATTATTTGTAAAAAGAAGAAATAAAATGAATGTGATTTATTATTATTATTATTATTATTATTATTTTGTTGTCTTTATAAAGAATAAAAAATTTAATTTATTATATATTTTAAAAATAAAAAAGTAAAAGTATCCATGGATACCGTATATACCCGCGGATATCTTAAAATCCACATATATTCGTCTAACAGATACCCACACAGATATGAGACGAATATGGATATCATATTTATTAAACGGAGTGGGGCGGGAAACTAGATATGTGTCTATGGATACCCATTGCCATCTCTAAATATGACTAAGTTTCAATTGCATTTCAAGACACTCCATATGTTCTTGCATTAAGTCTAGCTTCTCATACTCAAATATTTTTTTTGTTATTTATTGTGAAATTGCAAGTCTTTTAGTTTTGATGTTTTTATCAACTTGTGTGTATGTGTTGTTGATTATTCGTATATTTGTAATTTGTTTGTTATTTAATTATTCGTGCATTTGTAATCCATTCACATTTGAATTGTATTATGCTCGCTTCGGCTATTTAGCATTGTACACTAATGTTTGGATTGATGGAACGAAGTGAAATGAAACGGAATATAATGGTATAAATTTATGTTTCATTGTTTGGATTGATTAAAAATTGATGGAATGGAGCAGAATCTGATGAAATGCATTTTATTTCATCATTTTCCATCAATTTCTATACCCTCCGATTTGGATGGAATGACAAAATCTCTTTATTCAGTCATGAAATACCCAAACAATGAAATTCCATCTTTATATTATTCTGCTCCGCTTCACTCTATTCTGCTCCGTTCATTTAACTATATCCAAACATAGCCTAAGTCCCTTCATTATTCAATAAATCAGAATATTGGTCCATGACACTGTGTGACCATTTTTAGCCTTGCAAGTTGGTTTTTATTATTTCATTAGGTGTTGCTTGAATCACAAGTTAGAACACTTAAATAAAGGTATTCAGTTGTTTGATTCAAATCATGTACAATGTATGACTCAACTCATGCATATTGTGAAAATTGGATTTATTTTTTTTCTCTGTGTGATTTGATTTAAATCACTGGATGAAATTGACTCGAATCATAGCTCTCTATTAAAGTTAGAATTAAGATCTGCTTAATTTGATTTGAATCATAAGTTAAATGTGACTCAAATCATGTTTTGCTCTTGACTTGAGTCATGGGGTTGAACAGTGATTCAAATCATAACTTCAAAAATCCAAATTTTCACCTTAGATTTAAATAGTTTTTTCTTGGATCCAAATATATAGACTCTCATTATGATACTTTTCATGATGGAAGTTCTGATGAAACCTCTAGACAAAAATGTTAATTGTCTTTTCTTCTCTAGTGTGTCTTTAACTAGCACCTTTGTATTTTTCTCTTGTTTGAGAATAACTTCTTGAGTGTTAATCCATGTCAGATTACATCTTTTTTTGTTACACTTCATGTGTAATTTGTTGTTTGATGGAAACCAGAGAAAGTGAATTGATCAATCTTGTAATGATTCATCTTTGATTAAGTTCACGATAACCATCAAGATCCAAGACCCATTTTATCCAGAAATTTGAAAAAACCTTTGTGTGTCTTCTTCATTCACCTACATCTAATTCTTTGTTGATGTCTTATGAATTAGAGTATGTGTGAGATTCTTTTGGCACAGTTCATCATCTTTAACCTTAGTATTTATCCATTATTGTGGACTTTCATCTCTAAAGATTGAGTTTTTTAGGGAGACTAGTGGTACATTAGGGTATCTAATATTTTTGTGTGAAATAATCATGTCCTTAGTGATATCTTGTAATACTCGTATGGAATTAATTCATTTAGATGCTTCCAATCTCTCCTTGTGTTGTGTTTTTCTTTCGTGTATTTTAAAATCTTTGATTTTGTTTATGTGACCTAAAATATTTTTGAAAGTGTATTTTTGGGGATAGGTCTATTCAACCCTCCCCTCATTCTAGACCTCTTTGTGTGCATATTCTCACCCGACATATGAAGTGGTGAAAAACACAAGAAGGGGGGGTTGAATTGTAAAACTGAAATCTAAAGCAATGAACACGATATTTTTATCCTGGTTCGTTTGATCTCAAACTACTCCAGTCCACCCGTCAAGGTGATTTCGCCTCTCTCCAACGAGGTCTTAATTCACTATATTCAACTGAATATTACAGACTGCTTTAACAACTGCTAAAGCCTTCTTGATTCAAACCACAACCCGGTTTGTCAAGGCAACACTTTCTTACAAAGAGATAAAACAATATGTGTGGATGTTTTCTACAAAACTTTATCACAACTGTGATGTATACACAAATTGAAGCTTAGAAACTAGATTGCTAAACAGTAATGGAGTATCAGAGTGTATGGTTTAGCAAAACTGGTAGAACGAAGATTATGGTTCAGCTTTTGTGCGTGTAGAGATTTGGAGAGTATTAACCATTTCAATCTTCGAAGCCTTGTTTATATAGCATTGAGATGATGAACGTTGAATGCAATATTCTTGATTCAATGCTAATAACAAACTTTCCTTATTGAGCAGATCTTGTCTGGAATGAAGCCGTTGGAATTAATTTGCTTTCAATGCACAATACCGTTGCTTACTTAATGCAAGTTCTGGCTTGGCTCATTCTGATTCTGCTTCGCTGCTGATGAACTATTGTGTTTCTGTATCAGAGTGTTTGAGCGCAGTCTTGTTCATCAGGCTTCAGCATGTACTTGAGTTGATCATCTGATCTTGACGTTCTGATGTAGCAACTTCTGATGCTGGTGTATGAAATCAAGTTCTGATGCTGAATAGACGTGATCTTGCTTATATCAATCAGAGTATCTGCAAGTCAGAACATAATAATTTTAGGCAGCAGATAGTTCAAACATGAAACATATAAATACTATATCTTTTCACTTTGTTATCATCAAAACTTAATTATAGGGTAGTAGATTCAAACATTGTTCTAACAATCTCCCCCTTTTTGATGATGACAAAAACTAGATATTTTAAAAGAAAATGACGTGAAAAGGTATCTGGAATATGTATCGGAGTAAGAAGTAAAAGAATAAGGAGTAAGGAAATACTCCCCCTGAGTTTATTACTTCCCTTTGATTATACGTGTTTTTCAGAATCAGATCTTTTTCTTTCTTTGAACATCAGATTATCAGAGTCTTTGACTTATCAGAAGCTTTGTGTCAGAGCAGAGCTTCAGAGCTTTTCTTGTCAGAGCTTTGCTTTGGATCAGAGTATTAGGACGATCAGAACTTCATATTGATCAGAGCAACATTGATCAGAGCTTCTAGTCTTCAGAGTGTCCAGGAGCTTCCTTGTGCCTGTAGACTTTGAACAAAACAAAAAAAACATTTCAAATAATAGAGTTAGAATGTTTGAGAATTTCTGTCTAGTTAGCCCGTTATTGATTTAAATATCATTCTTGTTCTCCCCCTTTTTGTCAGCAATCAAAAAGTGTTGGTGATGTGCTAAAATAATTAAGATCAGAAAAACTAATCATATTAATATAGTTCAGAATCAGAGCAAGAAAATATTACAAAACACAATCAAAGCAGTACATCAGAAAATCAGGGAAAACATGAAAAAGGTCATGCATGAAAGAAAATTTAAGGTTGAGGAGGCAAGCGTGTGAACAGGCGCTCCAGCATCGCTTGAATCTTTTCAGAAGTCTCATTTTGCTTATGAACCATGCTGACAACAGTGTCAATCTTGCTGTCCTGCACATCCATTCTTGCTTTCATCTTCTGATCGTTTTCATCCATCCGCTGCTGTAGACGCATGTCATTCAGCCTTAGTTCTTCCAGAGTCTGCCTGTCCAAGGCAGCTTGAGA